CACACCACACACACACACACACACACCACACACATCCATTTTTTCTGAAGTATGCCAAATGTTCAGAACCTTCAAAACGTCGAGAAATGTAAAAATTTTCAATTCCGATTTTTGGACGATTACTATAACTTACCCTACGGGAAGTTAACAAGTCATTGAAAACCCTTGCACAAAACTGGTTAATGGGGTTTTTGCGCGGTAGTGCTTGCACATTATAATTTATATAGTGGCATGTCACGGCATTCCCTGGCTCAGCTAACGTTCGATACCGTCAAGTAGCTATTGTTTTAATATGTGTACTACAATTTCATAACTGGAATGCCTATTGGCACGCATACTCGTTAATATTCCGAATATAAATTATAAATTTCTTGCTCACAGGTCGAGTTGAAAATGTCAAGAAGTGTGCTATCCGCATTTGATAATGAACTCTTTTACAAGTTAAATCATTTTACTGAAAAGACTGAAATGATATTTATTATTACTGATTACGGCTTGTTTATAAATAAGTAATTAAAGGGCCCATACTGGGATAAAATAAAAATGTTATAGTAATGCTATGTTACGGGTCTATCACCGTATGATATGGTATTAGAGAATTGTCAAAAAGCTTTGTATTTGCTGTGCAATACAGTAAGACCAACTTTCTGGTTTCTCTTTGATAAAACATTTGGGAAGTTAAATTTTATGTGTAAAACCTCTGATACATAGGTTTTTGCCAGTTTTTCAATACCAACTCATACAAATATAAACCCGTAACAAGCATCACCATAACATTTCTATTTTATCCGAGAATTAGCCCCTAAGTTTATATAAATTGCAACATCTTAAATTATCATGCTAAGAAATACATAATTTACATATGTTTTGGGGTATTTTATTCTAGAATTTTTAATAATCCATTTGTTTTTATTTGATATTTTGAAAAACTAAATGATAAGAATTTTAGAACAAAAAATTTTTTTTGCCCACAATATCTCAACTTCTACTGGGTACATTTATTTGAAAGTTTTTAGTTTTTTAAAAGAGTCTTCTTTATAGACTTTTTCTTACAATTAGTATGAACTACGCTCATCCCTAAATTAAGATTTTATTATTTTTAAGAAAATCAAGAATATAAAAAATAGTTGTAAATTTTTTTACAGACAGTCGCTACCTAGTGAAAAATGATAGTTCATACAATTGAGACAATATTCCAGGTATGAATATGATTAGGCGACAATTTTTTTAAGCCGCCTACTTCATCGCCTTCTAAATTTAACTATTAAATAACTAAAACTTTAACTATTTAATAACTAAAACTTTACCTATTTTAATTTTTAACTTCCCGTAGGGTAATTTTTTGTATATTTTTTCAAAATATTAATAACATGTGACAAAAATTGAAAAGTGAAAATATTGCTTGCCTTTTTAGGGCCTTTCAAAAATCGCATAAAATGCATGCCTCTAGACTAGATTACCCCCTTGCATTCATTTTATTTATTATCACCAAATCCTATCAGCTTCGGTTAATCTCTTGAATTTTGTAAAAAAATAGTCTCATATACCCAGTAGTTGCTCTTGCCTGGCAAATTGTATGAACGATACTTTTATCACGATTATAACTGCAGGGCAGAAGTAATACGCTAAATGTAAAGGGATATCTATGTTAAAGAGAAACACGGGGTCGTTGAAAGCTTTTTTCTTTAAAGCTATTGCGTTATTGCGCGCTTTTTATCACGTTTAGTCGCTGTTGTGAAAACTCTGCAAAAAGATAAGCTTTCTGTGTAAATTATTTTTTCAAAATGTATACGCAGCATGGAACAGAACAAAACCAGATAAAATAGTGCACTCTGGTTATAATACATACATAGATTCGAGTTTGGTTCCACCAGTATTAAATTCCATGAAAGCAATTTTAAAGAAAGATTTTTTTTAAATTAGATAATAAATCGTAATCATAATTAATTTTTTTTAGTAATACTTTTTGACTTATGTGTTGAACTGTCCACTTACTTCCACGTAAGCACAATCAATTAGTAATTTTTGATACTAACAATTTTCTAGAAATATTTTTTATGTCTAAACAACGATTGCCGGGTCAGCTCGTATATATATATATATATATATATATATATATTAAATATACGTTTGAATTATGAATGACACGATCTTCTACCAATATGTAAATTTCATTCTAAAATAAAAAAGTTTTTTAATATATAGAAGAAGTTGCTCGATTTCATGAATATATTGATTTATACATTTATATTTATTTGATTATTATAAGGTAAATATGAATATAATATGTGAATTTTTATAAATACGTGAAATTCATTACGATGAATTTTAAAATATTCATGTTTAAGTTATAGGCAATATAATTCGTTAGATCTTGACACCAAGGCACCTTTAAAAATAGATGTTATAGAAGAAAATTAATCAATTATAAATTTTATTAATAATATATATAAAATTCTAATTGATATATTTCTTATCATATTTAATAAATTGCAAATTTTTGATATAAATCCGTGTTTATTAAACTTAGTATTTTTTTTAATATTAATTTGTATGTAAGAAATTTTGAACATATTAAAAATCATGAAGTTTTTATATCTTTTATACTTGAAAGGTTTAAAAATGTTTTAAAAAATGAGTCGAATGTGGAATATACTATTCTACTATTTTGTCTAGCATATTTGCACTGCATAATACAAACATTTGCAAGCTCTATTTATTATATAAATACTGCATTCAATTTTTACCCCACGGTTAATTTGAAAGCTTGCATTTTTCAATCATATGCATATTTTAATTAACATGCGGTTGCAAAGCATTGTAATGTGTGGATAAATAAAACACATAAACAGGATATATTTCTATAGTACATGAAATTTGATATTTTGCTAAAATTCATAATTAGTTTGTGTTTATGTTTGCGTACCGAAGTTTGCTGAACTAATTATTACAATCTAGAATGCGTTACGGGAGATGTATTTGAAAATGATATATGTTATGAAATTGGTTAGCAATGTTATTTGTGTGTAAATTCAAACAAACAATTTGATTTAGTGTGACGGGCAAAAAATAGATTAGAACACGTCGAGATAAACAGAAAAATGAAGAAATAAGGGATGATGGAATTGAATAGAATTAGAAGTTAGAAGATAAAGAGACAAGAATAAAGAAATGAAGGAAGATGAAAGTTGAAATAGAATTAGAATTGAAAAGAAAAATAGATTAGAACATGCGAAGATAAAAAAGAAGAATGAAGAAATAAAGCGAGACAGAAGAACTTGAATATAATTAGAAGCTAGAGTAAAAAACACAAGGTGAAGAGCTAAAGGAAATATGACGTGAGTGGAATTCGAAGTTAGAAGATATAAAACAAGAATGAAAAAATAGGGGAAGATAGGAGTTAAACGATAAGAGTTGAAAATCTAAAATGAATAAATAAAGAAAGATAGGAGAACTGGAGGTAAAAAAACACTAGAATGAAGAAAAATAAAAAAAGAGGAGTTGAGTGGCATTAGAAGAAGAAGAAGAGAGAAGAAGATAAGAAGATGACTCTTCGTGAGTGAAGTAAAACTGAGTTGTTAAACTGATTGTGAGATAAAATTAAAAAAAAAATCAGAAAAAAATAAGAATAAAAGAATTATAGTAAAAGAAATTACAGTTATAAAGAAAATTGGGTAGTAAAGGATATATAAAGATAACATATGACATAATAAAATAATGTATGATGTTATAAAGGATAGTATATGATATAATAAAGATAACGTAAAATAAAAGAAAGTTATAAATGTGACTAAATGCTCTGGAGCTAATTTAAAAAAATTGATCTTGCTTAAAATTTGTTGCAATTTCAGTATAATAATATTCACAATCACTTAAAATTGACATTTGGACTATGTTTAGTTCAAGTTATTATTGTTTATATAACTAAAGTTTATATAAAATTAGTTGAAAAGTTATCAGAGTGCAATGACAGGCCAACGTAATTGCAACATAATTAGAAAAAAAAACCTGTAAAATTTAGTAACTATAATCATAATATAAACCTAAACTGCAACGTTAAATCGACCGTATTAAAGATGAATGAGTTCTGACACAACGTACATTATTATTATTATATTATTTTATTTATTTTTTTAAAATTATTTTTGAACAGCAATCAGAACCTAATAATCCTATAAGCTGTTGTGCTGTTTTCAATACTAGACAGATGGCAGCCCAATCAGTTGCCACATCTCCGTATGATATATTATTATTACAATTTCTATAATAGGGCGAATATTTTTATTAGTGCAGCAATGTCGGGTGAGGGCTATTTTCATTTGGAAACATATTGCTATCTATATTTGCAAGTGAAAATCGTTGTCACCTGTCTGACAGCAGGTTGCTCGAAGAGGAATCGAACCGGGACCCCGATCCAGATGCCGTCGTTCTAGCCACTTACCTACGAGCGAGCCCAACGTGAAAAGTGAATATGTATATTTTCAAACCATTTTTTAAACAGCGATGAGAAGTTAAGAGTTCTATTAGTTATTGTTTCTGTATTGACGGCAACCTAAACAGTTGTTTCATCTCTGTACGATAAATTTATTGGTAAATTTCTGTGATAGAGCGAATATTTATTGATGCAGCAATGTCAGATCAGGACTATTTTCATTGGAAATATATTGCCACCTATATTTTTAAATAAAAACTGATATCACTACTACTGGGTGAGTGCAATTTTCACTTGGAAACATATTGCTATCTATATTTCCAAGTGAAAATTGTTGTCACTACTGCCTGACAACAGGCTGCTCGAAGTGGGTATCGAACCAGGGACCTCTGATTCAGGCCCCGTCGCTCTTAACCGCTTACCTACGGGCGAGCCCATGTTATTATAATTACCCAAAATTTACAAGAAAACTTACTGACATTAAAAAAAACTCCCACAAGTTTTCTTAAAACAATTCACAACGGTTATATTTATCGTTGGTTCTTATTTCAAAAGTTTATTTACTTACCGTGCTCATCGGGCAGTTCTGGTCCCATCTGTTCGTCGAAGTCCGCGTACGCGGGGGCTGGTGCCGCCGGCGCTTCGCGGCGTCGCGACGCCTGTGCTACGACCGCCAGCAGCGACAACAGAGCGCCGCACTGCATGCTGACACTCCTCTGCAATGCGGTCAACACATTGTTATTAAATGATTTAATTTTTATTTATTATATCCTGTAAATAAACAAAATGTGTAAAAAAATTACAGAATTTGAATGGTTAAATTAAATTAGAAGTAAGAAGAAAAACGCCAAGACATAGTAGAAGAATGATGCTAGGAGATGAATAGAATTAGAAATTAGAAAATAAAAAACATAAGAATGAAGAAATAAAGGTAAATACTAAATAGGAGTTGAATGGAATAAGAAGTTGATTTCATTTTTATTAATTATATCCTACAAATATACAAAATAAAATAATAAAAATTACAGAATTTGAATAGTTAAATTGAATTACGAGTAACAAGAAAAATAGATTAGAAAAACGCCAAAAAATAAAAGAAGAATAAAGAAATAAAGAAAAAAAGGAGTTCAATAGAATTAGATGCTAAAGATAGAAAACATAAGAATGAAGAAATAAAGGAAAATAGGAGTTAAATAGAATAAGAAGATAGAATATAAAAAACAAGAATGAAGAAATAAAGGAAAAAACAAGTTGAATAGAATTAGAAGATAATAAACAGGATTAGAAGATAAAATAAAATAAAGTAGTAAATAATGCTCCGCGAGTGAAGTAGAATTTGAAAATAAAGAAATAGACAAAATTCAATTTAATGGATTAAAAAAATTCAACAATATGTAAGAATCATTTATTTACTCAACTCAAGTTCAAATTATTCATTTCAAAACTAAAAAAAAAGTTATATAGTAGTAGATATTATGGAAGCAATTTTTATAATGAAAATATGCTTTTTCTGTAACTGAACATATTTTTTAAAAAATAATTTTAGAGAACATATTCTTTCAGATATCTAGTGTCTATAAAGAATAAAAATTAAATATTTATAACAGGTCTGGTGCTAAATTTTCAAATACATTAAAGCTTAAAAAATGAATTATTTAAGTAATTCTAGATTTAAAATTTTATGTAATGCGCATATCTGTATCAAAAAATATTCGTAAAAACATTTTTGCCAACCCATTTTATTTTAATTTTATTCTGCATAAAGATGGATCAACATGAATAAAAGATGCAGAATAAAATGACAAATGAAGAAACACATAATCATATAATTCTCTTAAGATTTTCCAATTTTCCTTGAATTTTACGACAGCAACTCTTAAAGGACGAACCGTTCAAAACACAAAGTGAGTAAAAAACTAAGAAATTTGAGACTTTTCTAACGAGTTTAATACTTCATATGGTTTCTTTATGAAAATATCCCATAGTGTGAATAGTTGCTCAAATCTACTCGCACTTTGCATTTTAATATTTGAATATTCACACAGATTTTATACTAAAGCGGTAAAATATGGGTAAAAGATACGTGAAAGCTTTCTTGGGTTGGCTAATATCAATAAAAAACAAAATATTCATAAAACAAAAAAGTAAACAAAATGTCATTATTTTTATCTGATTAACTTACAATGTTCCACAAAGTTTGATCGCAGTGCATTTTATTTTCTCCTTTGAAATGTAAGTTTTGCATCACTGTCAATACTAATTTTTGCCATATAGATTTTGTGTTATTTCGAAATTCAAACTTTCATTTGACAGTGTTGTACAAATTGATAACTATTTGAAGTAATTGTCAGAACTAATTTGTTTAAAAATATAAAATGTGCAAAAACTAAAATATTTAACTTTGAACTTTATTTTTTTAAATAATTTAATCTAGTCATTGATATTTAATTTTAATAATATACATTATACACTATCACAATGTTTTTCCTACAAAATAATTTCGATAATATGTGAAAATCAATAAAGAAATTAATCTCAATAATCTTCAAGTCCGGTAGAAACTTTTGTTCTGTTTAAAGCTAAGTAAAATTTAACAATATTAAAAAAATAAAGAGTTTTAGTATTTAGTATTTAAATAAACAAAATATTACACTTCCAAACATATGACTTATTCAAAAATTTTTATATGGTTCGTTCATTGTTTCAGATATAGTTGGTGTTACTAACATAATATATGCTGATATGTTAATAAAATATTACCATAGTTATTTCTAAGAGACTACCATACTAGAAACAGCCCCAAATAATGTTTTTCTTTTATTGCACTTTATGAAAATTTTACGAAGAAAACTTTAATGTAGTTGGCATAAAACATTAACGCTTTCGAAGGCTCTGCCTACCATTGCAAGATATAAAAGCTTGCATCGTTAAAATTTCAACTTCCCATAATTCCTGTTTCAAAAGTAAAGAACATCATTCTACATCTTTATGAATTATCAATAATGATAAAATTTTATTTTCTGTACGTTCTAGTAGGTGCAAAGCTAGAGGAAAAATTGCTGGGATAAATGAGATATAGGTCAAATAACTTAGGACAGACATTTTAGGTCTTCAAAAATAGAAAAACTAATGATTCACTTAGACGAAAATAGTTAGATCAATTAGTTTAATTAAGAAATATGAATTTAAAACTTATTTTGTATAGTTAGAACAAAAATTTGTGAAAACAAGGTTGTGAATAGAAGAGATAAAATGTAGTAGTATGTAGTAGTAGTATAAGGATATAGAAATTCGAATAGTGCACCTGGCACCAAGCAATTTATTTATTTGAGTACAATATTATTGGAATAAAATTTATTTATTACATAAGTAATAATTTAAAGAATTTAATTTAATACTTGATGCACTCGTTTTGATGTGATTGTTCTGCTCTCTTTTTATTTAAAATCGGTATTCCACAATTTATCCTGTTGAACCGGAGACAATATATTTTCTTAAATGTATGATATATCTAAAGTTTGCATTTTTTAAATTTTATATTGACCACCCGATTTAATCTTCGATATTTTGTAAATGGCGAAAGATATGAAGGCAATATCGACCTTTCATAGATAAAACGATGCTATCTTTCACGCGAAAAATATTTTATGCAAGACATAAAGATATATAACAAGACCGGAGCGCCCTGAATATGTTGAAAAGAGTATGGAATCAAACATTGATGTGTATTGAACCAAAAAAGATTATTGGAATAAAAAAGGGAAAACGAGTATAATTCACCGACAATGAAATATTAATAGACTCGTAAGATATTTGTTATTTCGCCAATTTGTATGCAAATTTTATTTTAAAACACAGAATTTCAATGGATAATAAATTTTAGATATGAAAAGAATTTTAATAAATGAAATTATCAATTGTTCAATAAAAAAAGTAACTGATTTTTGTATAAATATATCTTAGATTATTGTTGTCATTAAGCACCTATCAAAAACTTCTAACTATTAAGTCTATAAAGTCTAGTGTTGTTTCGCAAAGTTTTACAGCCGATAATTTGTGCAAAATTATGTTTTTTGCATTATTTTTAAATAAAATCATAGTAAACCCCGTAATAGTAAACCAACTAGTTGATAGAGATAAATAACTTCAAGCTCTACAAAAAATGTGTTTTAACAGATTTGTAATAAGGAAATGATTCATTTGTTATGCACTTATTTATTAATTTAATTATAGTTAGTAATTTTTACTTTATAGATTCTAAGGTTGGAAATTGAGCAAAATAATTTGCAGAATAGTTAATAAAAACGACAGTTAAATTAAAAAATTAAATTTTGAATAAAATTTCCAATATTCATATTAATCTCATTACCAGTAATATGCAGATCAAGAGGCGTTCATTAATCATGTGATCGATTTTTTAAGGATTTTTGAACCCCCTCCCCCTTGGTGATAGATGGTGATACTCAAAATTAAAACCTTCCCCCTACCCTACCAATCATCACGTGTATTTTTAGTTACGAGAAAAAATTGTAATTTTTTTAATTTTTTTTGAAATTGTTTGGATTTTATTAAAAAACTTCAGGTAAATATTAAATAAACGTTATTTCTTACTATACACCTCCCTTCCCCGCGTGATATTTTGTGATTTTTTGTCAAACCTACCCTCCCCCATTAGTGGGCGCCCCTCACCTGAATTTCTTAAGAAAATTTGGATATCTATTCATTTTGCTAATAATCTAATTGTACATTATGGCTTCAAATGAGAAATTCAACAAGAACTAAGTAAGTAAGATAGTAAAATTTGAATTAAAATGTAATTAATAATTAATATAATATGTCTAGGCTTTCAAAATCAAAATTTGCTACAATATCATTACATCCTTATCAGATCTTAAAATTTCATTAGATTTTTATCGGCATCTTTTCAGATTCTTATTAGATTCGTACTAGTTTCTCATAAGTCTTTTTTACCAGATTTTCACTAAATTCATAGTGAATTCTAACTGAATGAATTTTGATTTTTATTTAGATAAATTATTTAATTTATCCCAAAACCAGTAATATTATTTGTTTTTTTAAGAGTAAGTTTTATTTATATTCTCATGAAACATCCATAAATATTAATACAAGGAAATTATGACGATTCATTTTTAACATCCAATTTAACAAGCGGCGAAATGGGACGCATGGGAACAACAAGCTAAATGAGCGCAATCTGCGAGACTGAAATTCAAAAGTTTCCTGGCAATGTAAAATAACAGGCAGGAAGGTTATGTAGAACTGGAAGAACACTTTATTTTTCATGTTTCCGCATTGTGTGAAAATATCTTGTCAGATAGGTTTTCACGGGAACTCATATGAACATAAAACTGAACTTCAGACTGCATATAAGAGAGAAAATGCATTGGAATGAAGGCGATTTAGAGAAAAATATGGTGGATGTCGTATATATGTAAATATATATATATATATATTTATATATATATATGTGTGTGTGTGTGTATATATATATATATATATATTTATGATTAATTAACTATTATACTAACCGTATGTCAACAGTATGAACGGGATCCTCTTCTCAGCATATCACTAGATACTAAGTTACTAAATCACACTACACTATTTCTAACACTTCAATAACTGTATCAAAAATATCACTAGTTTACGTAAAAGAATATTTAAATGAACACTATATTAGGCCAATAGAATAGTTTTAGATCACAAAATTTGGAATTTTCACACTTGCTGAAGTACTCATCACAATATCTTGATATAACTGCATTTATTCTGAAATAGAAGAAAAAAATAGGTTAGTGCAAAAGCAATATTGTAATATACATATAATTATGAGCAGAAGAGACAGAAGCAGAAATAATTAAATACAGTAATGCAGAAAAAATCAATAAAATTTTTAAAAAATGTATAAAATCTTAATCTTGATTTTTGAAATTGTTAGCTTCTTATTCAAAAATTCTGAGTTTCTTATAAATTGTATTATATAAAAAAATTAAATTCTAAATTTTTGGTTAAATTCTAAAATTAATTGATATTTTTGTGAAATGTAATATTCAATTAGAATAAGGCGGAGCATAAAGGTCCAATTTGATTTTGAGCAATTATGTGGTGAAAACCACAACAATTATATCACAACAAATAAAAAACATTTTAAACAAACAACTATCTGACTATTTCCAGTAAATCTCCCAGCTTTATCATTGTTGAAATGTACTTTTTCTGCTGTTGTTCAAAAATTCAAGTCAACTGGTTCTTTTTACCCCATAGGTGAGGTAAAATGAAACATCCAGGGGGTAAACAGTTCACATGCCTTATTTGCAAATTCGGAAAGATTTTACGAAATAATAGCTACATTATTCAACCAATGCATAATATAGATTTCATAGGTACATTTTTTACAGAGATATACTGTAATAACCACTGTCTATAACCTTGATGATCTGGTATTCTGTCAGAAATATTCATTAGAAGAGTTGGAATAACTATTTATTTAATTTATCTTTTGTAAAATAGCTTTTTTAACCTAAAAACAATTGTATAACGTATAATTAAAAATTATATTAAAGTCCCGCAAACTAAACAATAGTGCTCGCAACCAAAAAAGATAACAATGAAATAAAATAGTTTTAGTATGGGTCAAATAGTTTTCAAACATTGTCGTCTATCTCCCGATAGCAAAATAGCAAGAATCAAGGTTTTGGCTGGTTATACATCATTTTCTCTCTACTTTTAAGCATTATTGTTGAAAAATTCTAATCTTCATTTGTTTTTGAGATACTCTATTGTGTTGGTGGACTATTTTACTCGCGGACCTTTAAGCCCCGCTCTACCTTACTTTTCAAAGTACATTTTTTATTTTTCAAATTTTTATTTCTCCGAATTCGATAGCTTACTGATGCTCCGTGGTTCGTTAGCAATAAGACCTTGCACGACGGTCTTCATATTGAATTTATAAACAGAGTTATACAACAGTGTCACATATTTTCATAAATTAGAACATCACACAAACTCTATAATCACTCAGCTTCTTGAGACACTAATTTCAAGAATACTGAAGAAATAGCTGCCCAAAGATAATAAGGAGGACCCTTAGAACTACCACAACTTTATATGAACAGAATAGTAGGATCACTTATTAAAGTGATTCTCTAAATATCAATATAATATTCATCAGATTAATTTATATATGTGTTTGAATGTGCGAGTGAATGACATAAGCCAAATAGCTCATAGAATTGCACTGTATTCTGATTGCTATTGAGAAAAATTTACAAAAAATTGATAGCTTATTTATGATTAATTTAATATAATAATATTGATACAATATAGTGATAAATTTCAATTGCGTTCACAAAGAAGATAATTTTACCTAATTATACGGTATCAATATTGTTTGTAAAGTAGTTAGCTATATATTTTTCTAGTGGTGCTATCAAAGGAAGTGCATAATGAACCGTATCGAGCTGCTCCAGTTTTCCGGAGTGCACTTATAGACGCCGTTGTTTGCGTGAAGCAACGGATTAGCCGTTGTCATTAATTATAAAGTCCGCCGAACATATCGCAAGTTATAGGTCTTTAATCCTCTTCGAGAACATCAGGCGATGGCGTATTAATGCATCGTGACGTTTTATTAAAGACATGATAAAATTTACAAGAGCACGAGCACGAGCACTAAATAGTAAGTTTGTTGCTATGAAAACTAAGTGATTTAAGGTACTGAGTAGATTGATTACGTCTGATCATAAATTAAATAAAATGTGTAAGGAGAAAGATTGTTTAAAAACCCTTCGGCTGATGATGACATAGTTAGGGGGGGTCCATTAATCACGTGATCGATTTTTGAAAGATTTTTGGACCCTCTCTCCCCCTTGGTGATACTGGCGATATCCAAAATTAAACCTCCCCCCTCCCCCGATAACATCACGTGTATTCTTAGTTACGAGAAAAAATGTAAAATCTTACTACACCCTTTCCTCCCCCACGTGATATTTTGTCGACAAACCCCCCCCCCTCCCCCTAAAAACCTGCGATGTGTTTCTTTTCTCAAACATTTTAAATATTTTTAAATTCATAGAAAAACTACAAAAAAATTAATGTAATGGTGTTATACAACATTTATAATAATTATTTTATCAATTTTTATTTTGTTATGTCTTACTTAGGAAATTAAATGTATATGCTCGTGTTAATGTACATGTTTGCATTTAAGTAATAGCGGATTTGCTTAGCAAATCAAAGACTTTTTCATTTCATTTTTTTTTTAAATTTTTTTAGTGGAACTAAATAACGTTTTTCTGTAATTAATGACCTTTTGTTGAATTCAAATAGTTTAATGAATTCAGGTTTACAATGTTCACAATTCAGGTGCAGAGCCCACCATGCATAATATTTTTGCAAGTTCTTAACATTTCTGCATTTATTAGCAAAAAAACTCAGGAAATCAGGAATGATTTAACAAAATGTATAATAAAGTGTACCTTTAATTAAAAAATGTAGAAATACTTATTATGTAAAAAGAAAACTACTTGGCTTAATACAAGACATTTATAGTCACGGCTTATTCGTTGAATTATTATCCTTCCACTTTTTAAATAAGTAATTGAGAAAATAATTAATATGAACTGCATTAAAATAAAATATGATTTATTTCTCAGTAATTTTTGCACGAACAAAATTTCTTATTGCATATTTTTTCAAAAAGCAAATAATGTATATGCTGATGAACAATTGATTAAAAATAATTGATTATATTGAAATAGATATAATCAAAAAATGTGATAAATATACAATTTGCCTCGAAACTGTTGAAAATGCAAATTGCAACATATGTTAAAACTGTATTTATAATAAAATGAGAATAAAATTAAAAACTATCATTTTTAAATTTGAATATGACTTCGTATGCAAACGAGTAGAAATGCAATATTTCAGCATTGTTATAAAATATAACGACATGAATTCCCAAAGGAAATACGCATATGCAATAAAAATTTATGAATATGACTGTTCTCGTAATATGACTTTATGAATATTCACCTCTAGATTTTAGTGGGCAATATGTCGAGATGCGAATAATTTCATGGTTTGAAAAATATTTGTAGTTTGGAATTAAATGAATATGTGCATACAAAGTAGTACATATTATATACAATTGCATAAAAAAGAAACTAAACAAATGCTTTGCCAAGCGATGTTCTGTTATTTTCTATCAGCTCTTTTTATTTTGCAAGCAACTCTAAAACATTTGATTGCAAGTCCAAAACTTAAGATTTTAATTTCTAAGTATGAAAGACAATGACTACATACAAAAACTAGCATCAGGTTTCCCTACGGGATTCCCTTCAATTTATAATTTAGATACTTAAAATGAATTTATCGTATTCTGGAACTAGAGAAAAACTTGAAAATATTTATGTAAGATATCCATACTTTGTATGTGCAAAGTAAAAATAAATTATTTTTGAAAATTATACTGTTCTGCATTTTTCATTGCGCATTATCAAATTTCTGTTTAATAGTGCAATGTGCAGATGCTCTAGTTCATGGTTTCATATTACGAACCTTAACCAAGAGCTTTTGTAAGTCGAGCTTTAGATGTTTGCATTTCCGCCGCAAGCAGATGCACTCGATAGTTTCCACATAGATTGCGCTTATCGAAGTCTATAACGAAAGCTCGTGTCGTCGATCGCGAGAGCTTTTGTCCCATTTGCGCAACCGATATTCATTAGAATGTAAAAATGGAAAATTATATAGGGGGACAGATATCAAATATGATAGTAAATATTTGGAAAAATCTATCAAAATTGCATCTATCTTCTATGCCTGAATATGTAGACATACTAGAGCAAACAGAATTAAAATATTTCTGCACATGCTTTTATGTATTATGTTCAAGAGGCACACCTAGTGTGAAATTTTTAAAAATTCCAATTTTGAATTTTTCCATATTTCGAAAAGTTATACCTTTAAAAATAACATACGAAAATTTCAAATTGATATCTTAAATAGTTTTTGATTTACAGCCGTTTTAAAGAGTATATATGGTATATAGTATACGATCATTTTATCTTTAAACACATTTTTCGAATTTGCTGGAGTGATTACTCGAAGACAAATGATCCGATTGCTATCAAATTTTTTTTTTGCATCTCCTTTATATAGTTCCCAAACGATGACCCCCCACTTTTTTGATTTGTTCAAAAAATAAATTTTGGCAGCCCATCAAAATTTTGGGAACTTTGGGAATTTTTTCAACATGCCGCCATTTTATCAATTTTTGATTTTGTTGTTTGCCCGAGGGTCATCGTACAGACAATATGTTCTAGTTTACCGAGATTTTTTTTATTATGTTTTATCAAGGCTGCAATCACTCCAGCACTGGCCCGCCGGAGATTGCGTGTCATTTCAAAAATATTTAATATTTTATATCAAAAATTTCACTGTGTATTCTCAAAACATGTATAAACATACCCTCAAAATTTGAAATAGATAGATTCTTAAGCATCTATTTTCTTAAAATAGTTCATTTTGAGCATATTCGTCTTTGTTATTATTTTTTGCTTTGAAATTTAGAAAGCATTCATCTACGTTTTAGACCACAATCTTAAAATAAAATAAAAAGTAAAATAAAAATAAAAATAAAAATTCAAAAACCGTTCGAAAGATTGGTTGGGAATTGCTTCGATTAGTCAATGATCGGTCGGGGCCAATTCTTCTAAATGTAGAACATACATCATAATAAGTACGTTTAAACGACATACGAATATTATATT